ATAGGAACCTGGAGGACTACGTCGTGAACAAGGGACACTTAAACCTAGAACAGAACATGAAGAAGAAGAGTCACGAGTAACGAAGTAAGAGGGATATAAGTTTAGGGAACCTGCTAGAATACCCCAAAGTGAAATCAAGATTGCCTATGCTGGTGAAAGATGTCAATCTCTCGCCAACATGACTATATTGGATGGGGAAACTGTACGAGGAATTTCAACTAGGATCTAAGAGTATCAGAATGGATAGTACGAGAACTTCAAATTCAGGCGGCGATAAGGAAGTGCTAAGTTAGGCGCCAGAAGTGAACGAGTGAGCCGAATGGAAGGTCATGACTCTTGAAAGGAGTCATAAAGTTTCTGGCAAGGTAGAGAGAGATGCAAAGGATGCATTTTATGCATACAGAAAGTAAAAGCAATAGTATGATGTGTCAACGCTAAGCAACAAGTAACGAGGAGATGACCATTCAATGTATGGTTAAAGGGTAAGACGAGACAAAAAAAAAGAGATGCAAATTTAGGAGTTACAAATCCTCGTAGTAAGAAGGATTACCACAAGCAAGACTTGGGGTAGTCACAACGAAAAATTTCGAGGGAAATTTTTCTATAAGTGGGGAGGAAATGTGATACATCGATTCTGATTTTAGGGCCAACAACGAGTGCTGAATGAGCTGTACCTACAAAGTGAATCGATAATTTTGTTCCATCACCAGATGGGGGAATTAAAAAGGGACAAGTAGCCACTGAAAGCTACTCGATGCTAATGAGCTTGTTGATAATACCTTTTATGGTCAAGAGGAAATAACTTGAGGTGAGGTAAACTATATGGGACAAGCAACGGACATCATAAAGGTTCATATAGCGAGAGTAAATTTTTGAGGCAAGGAAGTACAATCGGTGGTTTTCTCAGTTCCTGTCGTAGTTGAAATTTCGGGGTCAAAATTTTTATAAGGGTGGAGGAAATGTAACATCTCGACTTTTCTTGTTTAGGTTCGACCATAATAAGTGAATGGTTGGATCGTCTGTTACGTACAGAAAAACAAAATCAAATCAAACCGAACCGAACCGGGTTACGGACCAAGGCCTAAATTACACATGTATGGCTTGATGGATTTCAATTGTGGGCCAAGTTTGGGGATAAAGAAAAGGAGAGGGCTTAGCCCATGGAAATTGATCATAATTAAGCCTAATTAACCGTGATGTAACCGGGTCGCACGTTACCTTTGGGAACTCGTTTATCTCCACCTCTTGTGCTTTTATCTCCCCGGAGAAAACCCAAAACCCCTTCTCTAGCCACAATAGCATCTGATCACTCCAAACCGAAATTCTGCCATTGGAGTCCATTCCGCTTCCCCGTCTGCATTTTCCGCTGAAGTCTCAATTGCGCGCCCGCCAACAAAAACCCTAAATCGGGAATCGTAGCTTCCCTCCGACCGACCAAATGTCCACAGTTTTTCGTTCATCTTTCAGTTATGTCGGCTTCCGCCTGTAGCCAGTGCGGCCTTCCGTCTATTGGGAGCTTGCAGCGGTGGAAGCGATTCATTGTGCCTCTCATGGGGAACACAAAACGACTAGAGTTTCCCAAGTTCCTGTAATGATGATAGTCAAGCTTAGGGACGAGAAAGAATAACAACTAAAGGTGATCACTCAGGCGGTGGAATGCGACTATTGGGTTCCTTTTTGGATTCAAATCACGTCGACTTAATTTAGGAGGTGAGTGTAAATGGAGTAAATTCTACGTCTTACGTACTCTTTTAAGTATTATGATTTTGAGTATTTTAGCGAATTGATTACCGTTGCTTGGTTATGTTTATGATTGCCTATTTGTTCTTTTCTTGAGCTATAATTGAGGTGCTTTTGTGCTATTTACCTTAAAGCGTTATGTTTGAGTTATGGTGGTTAAAGTTTAAGAAACAAGTTCTTTTTAAAGAAGTAACTCACCTTCAAGAAGGTGAAGTCGTTTTAAGTGTTTTTAGTCACTAGCGTCAGTCCGTTGCCTTTTGAGACATTTTGAGATAGAGCAGCAGTTATGCTCTTGAGACTTTTAAGATGGACACCAGTTATGCTCTTGAGAATCGTGGCGAAGAGCCACCATGATAAGTTTAAGATGTTAGGGGGATGAATCGTTACGACTCCCCTAACTAAATTTAAGTTTAAGGAAAGTCTTGATGGCTTTTCAATTCTCATACGTATGAGTTGGGCAACCGGACTAGTTAGTGAGGGATCCCCGTGTCAGTCAAGAATTTAAGTAGAGATTTGAGTTTTAAGAGTTCAGTTTCAATAGTCAAGATTTTTAATAGTGGATGTACAAAACAACTTCTACTAAGTTAAGTGATCAAGTATTAATAAGATGTTAAACGTAAGGGCGTAGACTGACCCCATCTCACTCACCAGTTTGAAGAGCTAGAGGAGCTAGAGGAGTAGTTAGTGAGAAGCGAGTTCGAGGCCAGCCAGCTAGAGGAGAGCAGTATAAGCGTCACGGAGGATGCTTAGTGAAGGGTTTCAGTAGCAACAACATTAGAGATTAGTAGTTATTTACATTTATGATTATAGGTATAGACTGGAGATCATTTTGGAGATTTTAAGTATTGAGTTTGCCAATGTGTTAGGGTGTTGCTTTGAACTACAAGTGCGTGCTTTCAGTATTTTATTTTTGAAAATTTTTCCCGCTGCAATTTAAGATTTGAGTATTTTATTTATCAAGGGCATTTTAGTAAGAAGTAGTACCCGGCCGGGTTAGGGTGTTACATTTTGGTATTAGAGCCGGTCTTCCTCTGTTCCTTGGTTTCCAAGGAATACTGGAATGTCGGTCTCAGTTTTTAAAGGTTTTGTTTTAAAGGAAAGGAAAATGAGTCAAGGGTCTTCTTTTAAGAGTTTATAGAATCTCCAGTCTACTCTAATCATATTAAGGTGAATAACTATGACAGCACGGCACGAAGGGATGGTAGTCAGGGTGCGATTGTTTAAGAATAGGCTAGGACTCGATTTAGTTAACATGTCGTGGTTTGTCAAATAAGAGATTTAGGCATATCGCTACCTGCAAAGCGCTGTCGTACGGATCTTTTCTTGTAGTGATGGTTTGAGGTTGTATTGGGAGTTGGGACCGCTAAGAACGAGAATGGATCAACTCATTGGATAATTGGATTTGTCATGATCTATATGGGTATTTGATTGGATCCAAGTGAACTCATATGTATTTTTAATATTCTTGAGTCCAATTTTTGGGTCAACCTATTTGGGTCAAACCTAAATGGGTCTATTTGGATTTATATAATTATATATACAAAGAATAATATCTGCTTCAACCAATTCATTTATTAATGTTGTTGTTTCCACATTTATATTTGTTTTTCAAAAAAAGGCAAAATTCACATTACAGTTGTGTATTCATTTTCTTTTGGATAACCAATGTAATGAGTCTAATTTATACCCAAACTAATTGGTTGGATATGGATATAAACTAAAAGTGACATTATCCGAAACTGATTTATTTTATCCATAAAGAATTGAGTTCGAGAAATACCCAAATTGTGAGTTATTTTTGTCATCTCGAAACAGGTAGAAATAGGCACGTATGTAGTTATGTGTCTAAAAAAAAATACCAAACCAAGTAATTAGTAAACTGTATTTCCTTTGCTCCGTGCTCCCTCTGTTACGGGAACCGATCAGGTCAGTAATCTTATGGTGAGTAACTATGAATAACCCGCCCACATCAGCATGACATCAGCATCCTCTCTCTCCTGGAAAGCCTTTAATTTTCACCTCCTTAATCTTTGACGGATGATTTCTCACTCGTTTTAAGTCGAAATTTAATTTTTTTTGCACAGTTAGATCAGATTAATTATGCTCTTCAAAATGATATCCACTTTGATATATTATTCGAACAAAAACAATTGAGCCATTTTTTACCAGTCTATACCATATGGCATTGACTGGTATTGAAATAAGAGCATACCTATGGTTTGGAAAGCGTACCATGGTGGTATGACACAAACCAAAACTGTAAGATGGTTGAATACATGATAGTAGAAGTATATTAATTGTCATTTACGACTTTTAACATTGTATACCATAAGATACCACCCCGTACCAGGGTGATATTGTATGGTATTGTGTGGTAGTTTTTAGGCTTGTAATTTGTTCACCCAGAAATTTGTAGATCCACTAGATCATGATGGATTCGTCTTTGCTGTGCAAACGTTTTCAAAAACGAATTAAAAACGAAGAAGATACCATATGGTATGCAGTTGGTGCCGTGAGGCCAGAATTTTTTTTCCTCAAAAAATATTGAAAATTGATCTCATGTTGTAGAGCACGATGAACTCGTTCCATCTGTGCAAAAAAAAAAAAAAAAAATTTGAAATCCGAGTTAAAACGAAAAAGATGAGTCAATTAAGAAAACTAGTGGAAAAAAATGGTCTTTAATTCTCCATCCTTAGATCAGGATTTTCTAAATAAAGGGTCCATATTTGGTTATTGATGAGTGCATAACCCATGGTTATGCACCCTAATTTGAGCCCTCTTTACAGCAGTACTCCTCTCCTACTAACAAATCCAAGTCCCAAAAACAATGCCAAATCCAACCAATTTTCCATTTACAAAATAAACTCCAAGCTTATCAATTACCACAAACAAATTCCAAAATTAAACAATAATTTTACAAAAAACATAAAATAAAAAAACGACACACACCAATTTCACATAAATTTGCCGACAATCAAGACAAGTGTACCGAAGAGATATAACTCTCCAAGTCTTATTCCACTTAGCATATTTACAACATACATATACGTAGGTTTTGGTAGAACGAAAACCCTACGTAAGCACAAGTATCATTTTCAGCATACGCGGAAACACGTAGCAATACACAAAAGTGAAATGACAATAAAACAACAAAACAAAACAGCACATAACATTCATTCGTAGATCTCCTTCTCCATTATCAAAGCCCAAAGGACTTCACCAGAGCCTTTTTCCAATGGCTCTGTCGTAGTATTCATTTATTAGTTTGCGGGCGATGGATTAGCCCGCACGGGTGCGGATGGAACTGAAGCCGGAACGCCTGCTGGGGTTGGAACGGAAGACGGAACGCCTGCTGGGGTCGGGACTGAAGAAGGAACGCCAGCTGGGGATGGAACAGAAGATTGAACGCTGACTGGGGATGGAACCGAAGAGGGAACGTTGACTGGGGATGGAACGGAAGATGGAACGTTGGCTGGGGATGGAACACCGGCTGGGGATGGAACAGAAGTGGGAACGCCTGCTGGGGATGGAACTAAAGCAGGAACGCCCGCTGGAGATGGAACAGAAGCTGGAACGCCATCAACTCCAGGTGCGGATGGAACTGAAGCCGGAACACCTGCAAGGCGGCTTACACCGGGTGTGGATGGAACGGAAGACGGAACGCCGGCTGGGGATGGAACTGAAGCCGGAACGCCTACTGGGGATGGAACGGAAGCCGGAACGCCTGCTGGCGATGGAACTGAAACCGGAACGCCTACTGGGGAGGGAACGGAAGATGGAACGCCTGCTAGGGATGGAACGGAAGCCGGAACGCCAGCTGGGGATGGAACGGAAGATGGAACGCCGGCTGGGGTTGGAACGGAAGCCGGAACGCCAGCTGGGGATGGAACAGATGATGGAACACTCACTAGGGATGGAACTGAAGCCGGAACGCCTGCTGGGGTTGGAACGGAGACCGGAACACCTGATGGCGATGGAACTGAAACCGGAACGCCTACTGGGGATGGAACGGAAGCCGGAACGCCTGCCAGAGATGGAACGGAAGATGGAACGCCTGCTGGGGATGGAACTGAAGCCGGAACTCCTGCTGGGGATGGAACGGAAGCTGGAACGCCTGCTGGGGATGGAACTGAAGCCGGAACTCTAGCTGGGGATGGAACAGAAGATGGAACGCCGGCTGGGGATGGAACGGAAGCCGGAACGCCAGCTGGGGATGGAACGCCGGCTGGGGTTGGAACGGAAGCCGGAACGCCAGCTGGGGATGGAACAGATGATGGAACACTGACTGGGGATGGAACTGAAGCCGGAACGCCTGCTGGGGTTGGAACGGAGGTCGGAACGCCTGCTGGCGATGGAACTGAAACCGGAACGCCTGCTGGGGATGGAACTGAAGCCGGAACTCTAGCTGGGGATGGAACAGAAGATGGAACGCCGGCTGGGGATGGAACGGAAGCCGGAACGCCAGTTGGGGATGGAACGGAAGATGGAACGCCGGCTAGGGATGGAACTGGAACTCCAGCGACGCCGGGAACACCTGCTACGGATGGAACTAACACAGGAACGCCAGCAGGGACCGGCACGCCTTTGGCTGAGAGAAGTTGACGAGCCGCCATTCCAACCTCCACATTGGAAAATGAGACACCAAGGAAGACAGCAAAAAGAAAGAAGATCGAGGACTTGGAAGCGGCTGCCATTTTTTTCCAACTGTAGTATGGCAACTTCAGTCTAACTCGCAGATGGTTAGCTTGCCTTGTGTGTTTCAAGTAGGCTCTGTTGGGGTCGTTTATATAGAGAAACTTGGCGAATGTTGTTTGTGAAACAAGAGAGAGCGGGGATTGGTCATATGTGGTATAGGTTTCAGCAATGAGGTCTGTGTATGGACCATAATTTCTGATGTAAGATACCAAAAGGATTGCGTTTGCAACATGCCATGCACAAGGACGTCTGAGCCTACAAATTGCTAACACCTGTCTTACATTAATTTAGTAATTTTGTCCTTTTCGACCAATTATTTCCCACTGCAAAAACGGGGAGACGCGATTGAACGAAATAATAGGGGAGATTTTCGGTTGCATGCTACAATCGCAAACGTGCAGATGTACCTGGACACCGGCCCGACTTCCACGGCCTAGTACGATATGACATGGTTAGAGCATTACATGAGTATGAGCACGAAATATATGAGTCAGTCCAACACGAGCACAAATAATTTATGTGCATTGTTGGGTCTAAATTTCACGAGCATGAGCACGACACGTGTATAAGTTGGTTGTATATTGTGTCTGACATAATATTTTTGAGACCTTAAAGATTATTTGCACAACGTGACATGATAAAAATACATCTTTTATTGAAAATAAATATAAAGAAAATTATAAGTCAAAATATTACAAAATACCACTACAAATAAAATTATTTATTATTTTTAATTTTGATCGTAAAGATATTATATGTAATTACTACTATAAATAAATGGTCAAAGAATTATTGTTATTGTTTTCACTGTTTTTGTATTTTTAATGTTTATTTTGGTAGTATTTTGTGTTTTACAAAGCAAAGTACCATAGCGAACCACCATGTACGAGATGAAGACATAAAAATCAAACTATTCGAAGTTTGAAATATAATGAAAATTACTTGACAATTCACTGAATAAATTTTATATAGTACATTTGATTGTAAAATCTATATGATTTTTTTTTTGGTACCATTCGCTCTAGGAGAAAATGGATCACATTCTAGAGAATCAGACCTATGAGATTTAAGGAAGAGGAAAGGTATAGGTTTACCAGTGATATCTGTGCATGGATATTGGATCAGAGTTTCTGCTTATGATACCCAAAAGGATTGCATTTGCATCATGGCATCAACATGGACGTCGGGCCTCCAAATTGCTAACACCTGTCTTACATTAATTTGTTACTTTTGTCCCTTTCCACCAATTATTTCCCACTGCAAAAAAGGGGAAACACGATTGAACGAAAAAATAGGGGAAGATTTTTGTTGTTCCTATTTAGCCTTTCAAGTTGGACATGCACGTCGGCTTGGAAGACTATTTACACCTAAAATATTTTTGGCAGGAATTAAATGTTGCATTAATTAGTCTCGGCATTTAATTCGATATCGCATGGTCAAAACGATATCGTTTGGAGTCGAGCAATACCGTGGATAATTTAAGCGAGACCGCGAAGAGGCTCGGCGGTACCGCGGTACTTGAAACGACATTGATTGCAGATCATGTGTGAGTCATGCGCAGGACATGTGTTGCTGTTGGACAAGGAATGTTTTTTATTTTATTTTTTCCTTGTCGGAGGAGGAGAGTAACAACACCTTTTGGAGTCAAGCAATGCCGCGAAGAGATAAAACGGTGCCGCGAACCTCAAAGCTCGACGACATCGCGAGATTGGGAAACGGTGTCGTTTGGCTAAAAACGGCACCGCGAATAAACCCAACAACACTGCGGAATAGAAAAACGGTACCGCAAGGAAGCTCACCGGTACCGCGGCACTCCAAACCACACTGTTTACCACAAAACGGGATGGGGGCCGCGCACGTAGTATTGGTGTTGGGAAAGGAGTTATTATTATTATTTTTTTTATTCCTTGTCGGAAGGTACCGCATGGAGACAAGCGGCATCATGGAAAATAAAAACGGTACCGCGGATTTAAAAACGATGCCGCAAGAGCCTTGATAAGCGGTACCGATTAAAAAAAAAACCATATTGGGTAAGTGACCAAAATTAGCCCAGCCCAATGCGAGTGCAGACTCGCGGCAGTTCCATGAATCGATATTTTTTGGTTATGTTAGCGGTGTCGTTTAATTAAAAACGGTACCGCAAGCAAGCCCAACGGTACCGCTGTACTAGCAAACGACAGTGTTTAATAAAAAAACAATGTCACAAAAGGAAAAGCAAACGGAGCTGTTTGGGAAAGGAAACGACATCGCGGGATCATGAAAACAACTCACGTAAAGTTCACGCGAAGCAGTTTGAGGAACGAAGCGGTTGAGACACGTGGGAGTTCTCCGGACGACGAAGCAGTTGACACAGAGTTGCGCGAAGACTACGAAGATGCTTTCGAATAAAAGCAACAGAGCAAGGAGAGAGAGGGGGACAACCAAAAATCAACACAGAAACACATCTGTCAAACTTTACCTTTTTACTCTGTAACTCCTTCGCGGAGCTCTCCTTCCAGGAAGGATCTCCATAGTTGGTAGAAGTAGTCGTAGTCGCGGAGCTCTCCACAGGAATCTCCATAGGAGTAGCGGTAGCGTAGATTCCCCAAAACTCAAACACCCTCGTTCGAACGTAGTTTGGAGAGGTGCGAACCGTAGTAACGGTCGTTCTTGGTTAGAAGTCAGAGGTGCATCGATCAAATCAACACCGCCTGGCGGTGGATATTTGACGGTCACGTTGATTTCACCATTTAGAGGTGCATCGATCAAATCAACGGCGCCGACATTCGGCGGCGGATATTTGACGGTCGTCTCGATTTCAGCAATCATCGGTGCATTCGATCAAACGGCACCGCAAGAGTTTCCACCGTGAAACATCATATCAACATCGCCGGAAACGAATTCGACACCGACGGTGGTATTTGTTTTTCTCGGGAAACAAAGACACCATCAGTTCGTGTTCTATTAAACATAGTTCATGTCAAACTTGGAAGACTAAATAGTAACACTGCAAGAAAATAGTACTAACCATTGATTTTTTCACATTTAGTGTTGGTTTAACTGTCGGAAAATATACCCGAACAGTTAACTAAAATGGTCGGCGTATCAGTCAACACTAAATGTTTTATAGCGATTTTGGCAAATCGTCGGACAATACGATATTAAAAATTAATGTCGGTTAAAAACATCAGTAACAACTCAAACTGCCAACAAACTAATAATCCGGGCCGCCAGATCGATTAGCGGGAAAAAAAACAGCAGCCATCCTGGCTCAAGATAGGGTGCATAACCCACTAATAATCCGGGCCGTCCAGATCGATTATCGGGAAAAAAAACAGCAGCCATCCTGGCTCAAGATAGGGTGCATAACCATGGGTTATGCACCCATCAATAACCAAATCTGGACCCTTCATTTAGAAAATCCAGATCTAAGGATGGAGAATTAAATGTCATTTTTATTTTCACTAGCTTTCATAATTGACTCATATCTTTTTCGTTTTAACTCGTATTTTAATTTTTTTTGCACAGATGGAACGAGTTCATCGTGCTCTACAAAATGAGATCAATTTTCAATATTTTTTGAGGGGAAAAAAATTTTGGCCTCACGGTACCAACTGCATACCATATAGTATCTTCTTCGTTTTTCATTCGTTTTTGAAAACGTTTGCACAGCAGGGACGAGTTCATCATGATCTATTGGATCTACAAATTTATGGGTGAACAAATTACAAGACCAAAAAATACCACCAAATACCATACAATACCACCCTGGTACGGGGTGGTATTTTATGGTATCTTATGGTATACAATGTTAAAAGTCGTAAATGACAATTAATATACTTATACTATCATGTATTCAATCATCCTACAGTCTTGGTTTGTTCATACCACCATGGTACGCTTTTCAAACCATAGGTATGCTCTTATTTCAATACCAGTCAATACCATATGGTATAGACCGGTAAAAAATGGCTGAATTTTTTTTTGTTCGAAAAATATATCAAAGTGGATATCATTTTGAAGAGCACAATTAATCTTATCTAACTGTGCAAAAAAAATTAAATTTCGACTTAAAACGAGTGAGAAATCGTCCGTCAAAGATTAAGGAGGGGAAAATTAAAGGCTTTCTAAAAGAGAGAGGATGCTGATGTCATGCTGATGTGGGCGGATTACTCATAGTTACTCACCATAAGGTTACTGACCTGATCCATTCCCGCCATTGAGATATTGAATATTTGGCGACAAACCAACTTTTTGCAACAACACTGCCGTAGCTAAACTTGCCAAATGGTCACTCAAACTTAGTTCTCTATTTCAGATTCTTCATAAAAACTCATCGAAACATAATACTATAATTTTCGATGAAAATCCATTCACAAAGTCGCTTCTATAGGTGTCAAAACTGAACCCGGCCCGATTAATCCACCTGACTAATTCGATTCGCAACCCATCTCAATCCGAATTAACTAAAGCTCAACGACTCGCAACCCGCCCGACCCGCAACCCGATTGACATGTGACCCGATTAACTCGTGAGCAAAGTAACCCGCAACCCGATTAAACCTCGTAACTCGATTGATCCGAACCCGATTAACCTGTAACCCGCCCGATTGACCCGAATAATTACTATATTATATAAAATTTCAAAATGAAGTTTGTTTGTTGTAACAGTAAGTAAAACTATTTTTTATTTTATAAAGGAAAGTTTAAAAAATGAGATTGAGTTGAAATTACGTATATTTAATAAAAGAAAGAAGAAAAAGAAATAAGGGGGAGTTTTGATGCTTTGGTTTATAGCAAGAGAAAAAAGAGATAAATTTTGGTGTTTTCAATTTTTTGAGAAAAAAAGAAGAAAAAAAGTTGGTGCTTAAATTTTTGGGAAAAGAAAGAATGAGGAGTTTTGGTGTTTTGGTTTATAGAAAGAGAAAGAAGAGATAAATATTGGTGTTTTCAACTTTTTAAAGAAAAAAGAAAGGTAAATTTGGTGCTTCAAGTTTTGGGAAAAGAAAGAAGGGAGGGCT